AATCCCCAAAAAGGAATTGCTTAGGGGCCTATGGGTCTAGGCTAATTAGCTGCAACGTTGGCTGCCGTCACGGGATTGTGCCGTCAGCCGGTCGTGGCGTAAGCTTGCTGGCCGTTTGCTGTTCGTCCGTCGGCGATTCGGTCAGGCAACCCACTTGCTGCGATTCACAAGCGCTGAAGTCTTCAACCCTCCCTAAACCCTAAACCCTAAACCCTAAACCCTAAACCCTAAACCCTAAACCCTAAACCCAAACCTCAAAACCGTATGCCAGGAAAAAAGGTATAAGTTTCAGCCCTGTCGACTTCTAACACGTAAACAGCCTCTTGTGAAAATTTGTCCTTCGCACGTGAAACACTACTCCCCAGAGACTCCAATATCCCTTAATAAAGGAATATGCCTTAAATCTTAGTGGGGTTCCGATTATTATTTAAGGTATATTCCTTAATTGAGGGAACTATAAAACCCTATAAAACCCTATATGTCCCTTCAAAAACCTAAACCCTAAGGTATATACTCCTCAATTAAGGGAAATTGGAGTCTCTGGGTCCTTTGTGAGGTCGCCGAATTCTCAGAGGCCTGGCGACGGCGTGGCTCCGGAGTTATGGGTTTAGGGCTTCTAGGTTTGAGGGTTTGGGGTTTAGGGTTTATGGGTTTAGGGCTTCTAGGTTTTAGGGTTTGGGGTCTAGGGTTTTAGGGTTTGGGGTCTAGGGGTTTAGGATTCTAGATTTTAGGGTTTGGGGTCTAGGCCTAGGAAGGGATGTGTAAGACACAGGCTTGGAGTGATTCTGCGTAGAAACCCTTAACTCCCTTGCCCAAACATTCCTAGGTACTGACATGGGGCATACTTCCCCAAATCATAATAGTAATTCCTCATATAGAAACCCTACATTCTACCATATAGGTACTTAGGACCCTTTGGGTTGTAAGGTCAACCCTGGGGTCCCTGGCTGTGCATGCAGTCGGCAGCATCCGCCCAAGCACTCCGAGAAAAATGAGGTATCAAAGTGTTGCCAACGGCATGGCCCACGAGGGCGGCCAGGTTGCAGGAGTTGATGTGGAGGAGTTCTCCGTGATGTAGGTAGGGATCTGACGCAAGATGCTTGGCGCATGAATGCTCGTCTGGTAATCATTCCACACCTCAGGATGCCTTCTGCCCTAAACCCTAAATCCTAAGCCCTAAACCCTAAACCCCAAAGCCTCAGGATGCTTAAGCCCTAAACCCTAAACCCTAAACCGTGTCCCTGGAGAGAGTTCGAAGTGAGGAGGACCTTGTACTAGAAAAGTCTCATGATCAACCAGAGAGCCCAGCATCCCTTAGATTGAGCGAGATGCCTATCCCTAAGGCTCCATGTACCCAAATAGGGTTCCTTAGAAGGGGTTCTTTAACGGTACCATAAGGGCTTTATTAGGGGCCTAAGTGAGGGTTTAGAGTCTAAGGGTCCATGTACCCAAATAGCCTCTACTTTGGCCCCAAAGTGCCTATTTTTGGGACTACTTTAAGGCCAAAGTATAAACGATTTGGGTACATGGACCCTTAGGGCTATACACAAGGTAGGAACCTCATTATAATAAACCCTGGCCCTATAACCCCAAAATATTATAGGGCTCATATGAAGAACCCGAATAAAGACCCAAGGTTTCTTAGTCAGGTTCCTACATTCTACACAGACCCAAGTAGCCTCTACTTTGGCCCCCAAAGTGCCTATATAGGGACTACTTTAAGGCCAAAGTATATACAATATGAGTACATGGACCGTGGGCCCTTAGGGCTATAGCCTAATGTAGGAGCCTGAATAGAAGGTTTCTACATTATACACAGAATACGAAGATCCCCATACAGCTTAAGGATGCTTATATAGCATGTTCTGCTTTGATTAAAGGGTACCAGGCTCTCCGGAGAAGCAGTCACAGTATCCTCCGCAGCAGCCAGTTCAAGAGGAGACTGCGAGGTCTTGCAGGCAACTTGCAGTTTTTTTGAGCTCTACAGCGCTCCGTAAACCCTCAACCCTAAACCCTGAACCCTAAACTCTAAACCCTAAACCCTGAGCCCTAAACCCGAGGCCCTACACCCTGAACCCTAAACCCTAAGCCCTAAAACCTAAGCCCTGAACACTAAACCCTGAACCGTAATCCCTAGACCATATCGATTTTGGGTTTGCGACCTTGAGCTCTGCAGCGCAGGGCTTGGGGTTAAAGACTTTGGTTTGGCGTTCTAGGTTTAGGTTTGGGCTTTAGGGCTTTAAGGCTGTAGGGTTTAGGGTTTCGGGTTTAGTGATTCGGTTTACGGCTTTAGGGCTCAGGGATTTGGGCTTCAGGGTGTATAGGGCCAAGTTTAGAGTTTAGGGATGTTTAGGTTATATAAGCCTAGCCCGTGAAACTAGCAAGTTGCTGTTCGGGACTTAGCTAGGACGTTCTTCTGGTGTTTGTTTTTGAGTTTGCTTGCCGTAGGTTCTAAAAAGGTGAGTTCTATGTGGCATGACGCGTTTTTCAGGTGTTCAGCCCGCAAGCTAGTATGAAATACAAAACCAACCCTATATGAGCCCTTGTAGGTTCATGCACACGAACCTTTCCCGAAGCTTAAAAAAGAAGCCTGAAAAGAACCCACGGCCTGTCGTCAACCCTAAACCCTCCAAAAAAAATCCAAAACCTTAAATCCTAAACTTCAACTTCCCTAAACCCCAAAACCCCAAGCCCTCAACCCAAAACCTTAAACCCCAAACCCCTAAGCCCAAAACTTGTTTCCTTGCTTTGCGAAAGGCCCGCGCCAGGCTGCAGCCAAGTGCTTACGACCGGGCCTTGAAGCAGGACCCAGAGACTCCAATATCCCTTAATTAAGGAATCTACCTTAAATCTTATTAGGGCTCCTATTATAATTTTAAGGTATATATGCCTTAATTAAGGGGATATTGGAGCCACCGGAGCCGCCGTGCTTTGAGGGTTTAGGGTCTAGGGTCCTTGGGCCTCAAGGAGCTCCTAGGGGAAAGAGGAAGTTCAGATCTGTTTTTGGTGTTTTGTTGTGTGTTTTGGTGCTTGTTTTTCGGTGTGTTTGTAGGCTTTCTCAGGTCCTTTTGAGGGATTCACCGGGTTTCTGATCATCTTGCTTGCATGTGGGGTAAAAATGGGTACAGGGTCCTCCTCTTCAGGCAAGGCCCGTTCGGCTTTGAATGGGCTTCGGGATAAGGGTTGGCAGGGCTTGATTTAGGGTTTAGGGTTGGCAGGGCTTGGGGCGGTGTTACTTGGCAGCGCTTTGGACGTGGCCAGTTTGCTGTCCCCCAAATAGCGTCCAAAACAACTCATCTCACTGACCCTGCTTGCTCTATCAACAACTGCACAAGAAGGGCGTTGGCGCAATTTGGAGTTTTCTGGTACACCATAAACCCAAATCTTAAACCTAAACCCTAAACCCCAAATTTTAAGCCTAAACCCTAAACCCTAAACCCCCCAATTTTAAACCTAAACCCTAAACCCTAGACCCCAAATTTTAAACCTAAACCCTAAACCCCAAATTTTAAAGCCTAAACCGTAAACCCTAGACCCAAATTAAACCCAAACCATTCTAACCCTAAGCCCCTAATGCCCCTAACCCTGAAGCAGGCGAACGCGTGTCCATGCGACCGGCAAGATGAGAAAGGCGTTGGATCCTCGGGTCGCGCGGGCTTCGGGTTCCCAGAGGCTCCATAATAGACTACCGGTTTAGGGTTTAGGGTTTAGGGTTTTAGGGTTTTAGGGTTTTAGGGTTTAGGGTTTAGGGCTTTAGGGTTTTAGGGTTTAGGGTTTTAGGGTTTAGGGCTCCATATAGGCTACCATTATGGAATTGGGCCCCAAAAGACCATCCTTATTAAGGTCTTAGGGACCTAATTCCATAATGGTACTATATCTGGAGCCTCAGGGGTTCTTTTAATTAAAAGGTTTGTCTAACATACTGCTGATGATCTAAATTTTACATTACCTTGAGGACCCTAAACTATGGGAATATTGGTATATACCGTATTATGGGTAATGCAGGATTTATATCATCAACCGGATTCGGGTTCCTTTAATTACAAGGTTTATCTAACATGAGTACACTAGAATAGGGTATGGCATAATGTAATGATATCTAATCCGATATGATATGCTTATACTATAGCTGTAGTATACTGAAGCCGAGTTTTGGTACAATGTAAGATGCTATGGTATAACTTAATATTTCATAGTATGAGATAACGTACTATAGTATATTAGTAAATATCATACAAGATAAACGGAGCTAGAGCTGAGGTGCCTATAAGCCTATAATTCATAAGGGGTTCCTTTGTAAAGGGGGGGTGCTTATATGAAGAAGCGTTTCTGCAAGTGCCATAAGGGTTCTGTTACAGGGCTCCATAGGTTTAGGTAGAAGTGGTTTGGGAGGTTTATGGATCCCAGACCCACGGGGATCGAAAAACGTAGATCCCCTGATTTGGGACCCTAAACTACGAAAGTGCACGGTACCTACCTACCTACCTACCTACCTACCTACCTACCTACCTACCTACCTACCTACCGACCTAGCTACCTTCCTCCCCCTCCCTCCTTACCTGTCCTGCCTCCTTCCTACCGACCTACCGACCGACCGACCGACCCACCGACCTACCTACCTACCTACCTACCTACCTACCTACCTACCTACCTACCTACCTACCTACCTACCTACCTATACTTCTTCGCCCATTTATCTCTCTGTCTGTCTATCTATAGAGAGAGAGGGATGGCTTCTTATTCGATGCGCACACAAGCACGCAAACTTAAAGCGGCAGTATGTATGCACCTGCTGCCCTAACCAGCCACAGACCGAAATCCCCTTCCATGAGCCCTCAACCTAAGACCAAACTTTAAAATGCCGTCCTTGCCGTAGCCTTGGACCTTAAATCCAAGATGCTCAGACCCAGAAAATTCCAGATTTACCCTCAACCTTAAGCACTATACAATGAGAAAGGCCATTTTACACTGTAACAAAAAACCTCAGCCCTGCGCCTAAGGCCTTTCAGCGGGTCGTCTTGGACGATGGCCTTCTGCCAGGGGAGCCGATCACCTCGGAGTGCCCACATCATGCTACTTGCCTTTGATTTCCCCTTACCCTCAAAGGACTCATATTTTCAGGCTTTTGTGTAAGGCTGTTGGGCTATTTTGATGCTAAGGGTTCATGTTTTGAATCATTTTGAGAGGAGCGGCGAGAGCAGGGAGTGGAGGGATTCAGGGTACCCGTAACGGGAACTATAACGGTTCACAAAATCAGGGATACATAAGCTAAGGGTTCTATAGGGCCAAGGATTCGGGGTTCAATGCTTGGGTTTGAGGATTGTTTTTTGTCGACCGGGGCTTTGGCGAATCAGCTCTAAAGATCGGTCCGCGTGAGTTGAGATTAGATCTGCAGGCTAATTGATAGTTTCCGAAAACAAGGTGCACCTTATTCTGGGGTCCTTAAAATAAGGATCCTACTATTAAGGGTACTATATTAGGATCCCCTATTTTCGGAAACCCCAATTGATAGTGTTTCTACGCTGTGGGAGAATGAAACCGGGAAGAACGACAGAATCCCTTCGGCCGCATACGGCTCATTGCGGAATCTCCCAGACAATTATGTCGGTATATATACATATACATATATATACATATACATATACATATATATATGTATATATGTATGTATGTATGTATGTATGTATGTATGTATGTATGTATGTATGTATGTATGTGTGACTTGTGTGTGTGTGTATATTTATAGTATGTGTATATATATATACACACACACCTACATGTGTACATATGATTACACGAACGTTTTCACTCATTGTTTTACTAAGTTGTGTGTTGCTGTCTTTTGTTGTTCCTGTGGCCGTTCTGAGGTGCGCTACAGCCGGGATGTGGCCGACAAGGTGAGTTCCTGAAAATGCGGCTCTGGGTCTTCAATAGGGGTTAGGGCTTTAGTTTTTGTATGGCCGTGTTTTGGCTTTGGGATTTTAGGGGTTAGGGCTATAGGAGCTTTAGAGATTGGGAATTGACGTTTAGGGTTTGGGCTTTAGGATTCAGGGCTCGGTGTTGAAGATGTAGAGTTATAGGGCTTAGGTTTCTTGGGTTCTATACTATTATACAGTGACTAGTAGAGGTTTAGAGCGAGGTTGAACGGTTGTAGTGGGCTGTGTGCCTTATCGGGGGAGGCAAGATCCAAACTCTAAACCCTTAACCCTAAACCTGGGTCGCAGGGACTTAGGGGTGCTGTTTGGCGTCGGAATACTGAATATAATAATGGTTCCACAGTATAGTCCTACATGTACTTATCGATAGGCACCCCAAGGGGAGTATATCTATCTATCTATCTATCTATCTATATATATTATTTATGTATTTAGTGTTTGTTGCAGGCTTAGACGAATTTTTGTTAACTGTTCGCGAATTTCGGTAGTGTTGTTTAGGCCAGATTTCGCGGGGCTAGGTATAGCCATTTACCGGTGGTTGTGTTTGAGGATATTATTCATTCGTATTCAGGAATATGCGGCCAACCCTGCTAGATAGTTTAGGTGCTCTGCACGCCTTTCGTTTGATGCATCACAGCTGATTCATCTTGCTTTGTTTCGCTTGAGGCCTAAACCCTAAACCCTAAAACCCTAGAACCCTAAAACCCTAAAACCCTAAAACCCTAGAGCCCTAGAGCCCTAAACTCCTCCAAAACGGCATAGAGTCGTCACAAGACCCAAAGGCTCCATGTACCCATATAGTATATACTTAGACCCTAATGTACCTACATAGGAACCCCTTTAAGGCCTAAGTATCTACTATAAAGGTACATGGAGCCTTTGGGAGAGAAATCTTGACACATTTCAGAACTCCCCGCCCTCTGAGACTTCACAATTGCAAAACCCTAAGACTTCCCAACCCTCCGGCATCCCGAGACCCGATAACCCTATAGGGTTTAGGGTTTAGGGTACAGGGTTTAGGGTTTAGGGTTTAGGGTTTTAGGTATAGGGTTTAGGGTTTAGGGTACAGGGTTTAGGGTTTTAGGTATAGGGTTTAGGGTTCTAGCTTTTCTTAATAAGTGATCTATACTAGTGACAATGTAGGTATAAAAAAAAGTTGCGATATAGTTATATCATGATAGAGCCATAAAAATAGTAGACTTCCTAGTAGACTTCAAGAGCAACCTAGACCCGCAGGTGGAGGAGTTCATCGTCCCAGAGCAGTTGCGCATGACGCGACGGCACCTGCGATCGCTCTTCAGCCTGGTGGAGATGGAGAAGGTGTGCGTTTTAGAGTTTAGGGCCCCCTCAAAAACCCAAGCTTTCAACCTAAATCCTAGCTACTCTCTTTTCCCCCCCAACGGTCCTGGCCTTGACCCCAAAACCCGAAGGCCTAAACTTAAGCTTCATAAATTCGAAAGCTTTGGAAGCCAAAGCATGATCCTCAAGACCCAAATGCCCTGCAGTACGGTGTAATCACGAAGTTCATGGCGCTCCATGAGTGGGAGAAGCTTCAAAGACTGTACGAAAGGTCCCTGAGCTGCAGGAGCCTAGTGCTCAGCTTTAAGGTAGCATCTGGGGCTTAGGGTTTAGGGTTTACGGGTTTAGGGTTTAGGGTTTAGAGGTTTGGGGTTTAGGGTTTAGGAGTTTAGGGTTTAGGGGTTTAGGGTTTAGGGTTTAAGGTATCATCGGGTAGAAGCTCCTTTCATGAGTTCGTTCAAAGGTTTTGCAGGTTTCTGTAACGGGGGTTTAGGGTTTAGGGTTTCCTTTCCCTTACCCTCAAAGGACTCATATTTTAAGGCTTTCGGGTCCAAAGCCCCGATCATGTAAGGCTGTTGGGCTATTTTTGATGCTAAGGGTTTGGTTTCCGGTAGCAGCTTTGGATTTAAGCTCTGAGCTCTAACCCCCGATTTTCCAGCGAACCTAACGCCTCCTGGACGGCTGCATGTTGTGATCGCTTCAGACCCTAGCTGGACCTCAAAAAAAGCGCTACCTTCCTAAGGACGTATACACGGAAAGCTTCATAAGGAACCCTAAACCCTAAACCCGGAACCCTAAACCCTGAAACGGCGGGGAGTTTGAAATCTTAATATGGAGCCTTAGAAAGCTGGCTTGTTTGGGTTACTAGGTTCCTGAGTAGTGCCTCTTTTGCCCTTTCTATGGTATGGTTCCCCAAATAAAACGGAACCACAGGTACAAGGGTACCGTTGCTATTTTGGGGGTATCTCAGGAATCTACTGCTGATGATCTAAATCCTGCATTACCTTCAGGACCCTAAGCTATGGGAAGTGTGGTATAGTCCTTATTATGGGTAATGCAGGATTTATATCATCCACCGTAGGTGCAGGTAGACCCTAAACCCTAAACCCCAACCCTAAACCCTAAACCCTAAACCCTAAACCCTAAACCCCAACCCTAAACCCTAAACCCTAAACCCTAAACCCTAAACCTTTACCAGTCTACGGAACCTGAACAAGCTGCGTCTCAACACCCCCAGGGCCGAAGACTTAAGGGAAAGCCAGAAAGCCTTAAATCCTTTTAGAGTTTAGGGGTGTATATAGGGGTTTAGGGCTGAGGGGTATAGGGGTATAGCGTCTGAAAAATCAGGCATACCTTTTCCGTAGGGCTCCTTGTTATAATATGTATTCCTGCAAAAAGTTGCCCCGAAACCCTATTCTGATTAAGGCCCCTTGTATGAGCCTTTGAGGTCGCAAAGCCTCAATCCCCCGCCAGTTCAGCAGCAATCTTGTTAGCCGCTTCAAACCCTAAACCCTCAACCCTAAACCCTAAAATTTAGAACACCGTCAACCCTAACCCTCAGCCCTCAACCACTCTCACACACAAGTGAAACAGTTCTATTGGGTCGAAATAATTAGTAAAAAAGGCTCCTTGTCGTCCTTATGTAAAGTATGTTATGCCCAAGAACCCGTAGGCAGATGCAGATAATTAAGGCTCCTATATTCAACCCTATAGAGCACTGATGAATCCCAGAAGACCGTTATTGAAAAAAAGGCCTTAAGGACAATCCTATAGAGCACCTGTGAATCTTCTCAGAAGACCGCTATCGCAAAGAAACACCTTCAGGACGCCGAAAATCCCACAATACCCCTCTACAACCTTCAGTATAATATAGAACCCTCAACCCTAAACCCAAAATCCTAAACCCTAAACCCTAAACGCTACACCACACAAGCATTTACGGAAGCCTACGCGAGATCTCAGGGGCTGGAGCAGTCCGAGGGCAATGCTGGAATGGCCAAAGGAGTTTCTTGGAGAATTCAGGCCCTTTTTTCTGTGTTGAGGGTTTAGGGCTTTAGGCTTCAGGGTTTAGGGGTTTATTGCTTAGTGTTTAGGGTCTAGGGTTTTAGGGTTTTAGGGTTTAGGGTTTTAAGGTTTTAGGGTTTAGGGGGCTTGGGGTTTTAGGATTTAGTGTTTAGGGTTTAGGGGCCTTTTCTGCATCTTTGTCTTGACGTAGCCTGTTTGTTTGTTTGGGTTTGGTTATCGGAGGGTTCTTATTATTATATGTACTGGTCGAGTTCTGCATTATAGGCCTTTTTGTGAACGCTTCTGTAGGGCTTTATAATTGGGCTTCAGCATAGTGTGGTTCTGGTTTTAGTAGGATGTGAGCAGCATTCTATGCATGCGTTACCCAGAAACAAATCAGTACACAGGCCTGGAAACGCTATTCCTAAGGTTTCTCTTCTCGTGATCACATTAATCATACTGTACCGGAGACCCTATGCTAAACCCTAAACCTAAACCACTGCATTAGCTCAACTTCGAAGGAGCTCTTCTGACGTCGTGGAGAAGTATACCGGCAGCCGCATCGCATTCTTTTTCCACTTCTATGATCTCTTCACCAGGCCGACTGCCGGTGTAGGGCCTAAGGATGTTAAAATGCAAGGCTTAGGGTGTCCCAGAGGGTCCATGTATCCAAATAGATATACTTTGGCCTTAATGTAGTCCCTATTTGGGTACTTTGGGGCCTATGTATATCTATTTGGCTACATGGACCCTTAAGGTGTTGTAAGGGTTGAAAACTTAGGGTTCGTTAAGCCAAGTTCAAAGTTACATGTGCGCTTTGGGGCATAGGGAAGCTTCCAATGCCAGGAGTCACAGGTGTGTCAAACACTACACCCAACACGCCTTAATCCTAAACCCTAAGCCCGAACCCGTAATCTCTGAATTCCTCGTTTCTACATCCCATAACAACGCCCTTAAGTCCTAGACACTAGGCCTATGCCCCAAGCACTAGACTTCACTAACCCTAAACCTTAAACCCTAAAACCTAAGCCGCAACACCCTAGCCCCTCTCGGTCGCCCCCTCTCTCCGCTTTAGGGTTGGGGGTTTAGGGGTTTAGGGTTTAGGGGTTTAGGGTTTAGGGGCTTAGGGTTTAGGGTTCCTGATGAAAAAGAAGGCCTTGTCATCAGAAGGTTTCAAAATCGCGTTCTTCATTTTG